TGAGATTTGTTTGCTGGATACCAAACAAAGGAACACCGCGTTGCAATGTAAGGAAGGTTGACTTAGCTTTTGCAGAACGATCTCCAAATCCCCCAGCAGCCGTCAGTCTGTCGGCCTAACTCAAGAAGTGACCCCAGGTGGCCAGTGGTACCCTGGAGCTGCTCGGGCTCTTCCCGGTGAAGCGACGCCCTCAGGCTTCCCTGCCCCGACGGTGATGGACACAGGGCTTGGGAAAGCGAAACAGAAAGAGAAGCAGCATCTTAAGAGGCAAGAGATAGGTGATTAGGAAGCTCAGTGGTTGGGTGCATTGCATTTTTCCCCTCTAGAGCTCAGTTACCGTGTTTAAACGGAGACGGGGTTCACACGTGGCAGCACAGTCTTCTCCTGGCTTCGGGACTTTTTTGCCAGTGAGCAGATAGAAGTTCCAGTTATACTGATTCGCTTCGCAATTTGAGTGGAGTCCAGTTTGTTCCACAACTTCGGGCCGAAACCGTGTGAGGAGGTGGGTCACCGGAGGTCGCTGGCCAAGGCTTCTTAGTAACAGAATTCGGGAATCGATTTCAGTCTGTCTTTTTTTAACTTTATCTCAAGCATATATTGCCTACTGGAGACTCTGCTGTGCCCTACCGGTTTACACTTGCTGTGCAGGAGTCGTTTGCACTGTAGGACCGCGGTCCACATCCAGTTCTACACGGCTGCCCCAGCAAGGAGGACGCAGCTCCGAGCATCGCCTGAGCCTCGCGCTGTCCCTGCTGGAGGCTCCTGGGGGCCGTCTCAGGATCTCTGCCATCCAAATATATTTATTATGGCTGAGGCTCAGCCAGAATCCCCTGAGCTGAAGAACAGGGAGGAAATTCCTCTTTTCTTTCTGTTTCAACTTTAATTCCAAAGGTTGATGTGTTTCAAGACCAGTTTTCTATAAAAATGTTGAGCGAGCTTGGTTTTTCTGAAATACGAAGGTGGTGCTGTCTCCTGCCAAGCGGTAGGAAAGTGGGAGAGGTTATTAGCTGACCAGCAGAAGCCTCAGTCCCCCTAAAGAGTGAATGACTGTGCTGAGTGGTGGCAGCTCTGCTCCCCCGGGGACACGGGCTTTCGCACATGTGTGGCCATCTCAGAGGCGGTGGCTGAGGCTCGGGGCCATCGAGGTGGCGGCCAGTAGCCAGCCCTCCTACTGCCCGGCTGGGGAGACAGGAAGGACGCTCGATTTTCGTTCTCCTGATGCTCTAACGCTGCCCGGAGTGCAGTGTTACACTTGCCTTGTTTTGTCCTGACCGCTTTGTCCCAGAGCCTGTGTTTGGGAGACCATCGTGAGGAGGTGCTGACAGTGAGTCAGGAGAGGATAAACAAGGCAGAGTAACCTTGTGCTGCTGGTGAGGCCACGGACGGACGTCCCCCGCACTTCGCTTTGTTCCAGAGAGCAGGGTTGTGAGGCGAGGGCCAGGCCTGGACTTGCTGCGATGCCCTCGTGAACTAAGTCCATCCCCCGCGCAGCACGAGAAAGGGGGCTTCGGAATTCACCCTCCACACTCACAGCTCGCCCGTCACTCCCGACTCTCACCTCTCCGTTGAATTAATCGTGGGGGATTGTTTGACTTTTAATTTATGATAATTATTTTTATGTTATTTATGTATATAATTAACTGCTTTATCCATAATGGTTTCATCAAATGAATTTGGGCTAGGGGTGATAAAATACTGTCTCCCTTCTCCAGAGGTAAGTGGTCCAGGTGTCTGTGGAAGCGTCAGGAGCGCCAAGGTTCCTAAGGTATTTTTTTTTAAAATCACTGACGGTTTCTTTTCGCATCTGCAGAACATAAAGGGAGAATGACCAACTAAAACAACCGAACATGGTTAGACACCTGCTAGCATTTATCTTTTATTCCTCCTCCCTATGAAATAAAGGCCTTTTAAATCACAATTTTATTTTTTTAAAAGAAGTTGTTTTCGTGCCTAGAGTAAGAATGCATCAAACATGTTTAAAGAACCTAATTTAGGTTGTGTGGCCCCAGGGACCTCCCACTGTTTATTTAAATACACAGATGTGTAATAATACTTCTTGTTATAGTAAGTGAGAACTCTTAAGTAAAGATCAAATTTACTCCTGAGTTTTCTGTAGAAATATTTGGTCCTAATAGGGTCACTGTCTGAGGCAGAGTAGGTTCCTGTTGTCCTAAAACTGGCTGTGAATTTGCATATTAGAAACTGGTGGGGGGAACAAAAGTACTTCTGGGCCAAAAGAGTTTTCACTGTAGAGTGTTTCGCACACTTACCACTGTTTACTGATGGAAAGTATTTAATTTTTTTTAACTGAGCCCAGGTGCACAGCTGTAGCCATGGGTGGACATTGGGTCGAGCCATTGTGGCCCGTGAGCTCTGTGACTCCCCCAGGGTTACTCTAAATTAATAAACAGAAGAACTCACTGTTGGCCTGTGAATTTGTAAAGTTGGTTTGCTCTGTGCCACACAGAGGTCCACGGGCACCGGGGCTTGGGAGGGAAGGGCCCAGAGGGTGTGTGTCTTAGAGCTGGACCCCAGGGTACCGCCACCTAACGTGGATTGCGTGTCCCTGGGCCAGGAGGGCACGGAGACCTCGAGTAGGATGTGTCCTCAGGGCCCAGGAGGCAGACGCACAGACCGTTGTATGTTCTTCCCGGTCTCGGCGCCCAAAGCTCATGGCTTCCAGCTCAGGGCGGTGGCGGTGACTTTCCTGGTTGGATTCTGAAAGGCATGAAGGCTGAGAAGTCATGTGTGTCTTGTGTCCTGTCAGTTTGAATGATGGCCAGTCTGAGGTGCCAGGACCTGTGTCTCCTACCTGCTGGCCCTCTGCTCAGGCTGCCCATTCCAGGTAGTGGACACGCTTGGTCTATTTTGAGAACGGGCTCTAATTCCTGCTACAGTTCAGACCCAGTGAAATGTCTGGATTATTTTAAATGACCCAAACACTTAAAATAATTGGGATATTGAGATATCAGAAGCTTTCACAAGGTTTTTTTTTTTTTAATCAGGTGAATGTAGTGTTTTTTGCAAAGTTTAGCTTGAGAGACTGGACACAAAAAAAGATGAGTAGTGGGAGAGAAGGGCGAACTTCTAAGCAAGGTGGTTCTTTAGGCAGGTGGCCTGGAACCATCTCGTATTTTACTGATCAAATATTAAATGATGGAGTAGTCACTTTAAAGTTACGTGACGCCTGAAGTGTCCTCCCATCTTCTAAGGGCTTGAGCTCCGGGAACCTTGTCGTCGGTGCTCCAGTTGTATTTTAGAGGGCAGCTGGGAGCTGTGAGGGGGATTCACTCCCTGAACATCCAGCAAAGTGTGAGTACCTTCTTGCACATCCTTTCACACGCGCTCAAAGCAAATCCGAGTGGGTGGCGGAGACGCCGGGTCCCTGGCTCCTTCCTCTCACAGCTTTCACGTCTGGCCTGAGTGCCTTGGCGTCAGAGGTTCCTAGTTCTGGGGAGACGGGCAAGAATGATCTGACCTGCCCAGAAGCCACCCCGAGCTGCCCGCACACAGAGATGGCTGGGACCCTCCCTCCCACCTAAGCCCCGGCGCCCATGGGCCTGAGGCTTCCCCTCCCTGAGCCGGGGACTGCGACTCCCTGGGGGCCCCGCGGTCACACCTGAGGGAGGGCCCTCCGCACCCAGACTGCTCGGAGCCAAGCCGCCTGCTTTTTCCCGTTGACGGGTCTGCCTGCCCACATTTGCTCTGTGAAGAGGGAGACAGACCCACTCTTTATGGGAAGGTGTCCCTTCAGTGGGACACAGACCCACCCTGTGCCTCTGCAGGGAGCCGGCCCAGGGCACTTCCCCGGAAGAGGGAGGGTGGGGGACCCGGGCCTGGGTGCCCACTGGCTACTGCCTGTCCCACGTGGGACTTGCCGCTCCTCCCCGGCGCGGCTGCGTCCCCTCTGGTGTGAGCATCTCCAGCTTGGCCTCACGCCAGAGCTGCTCTCTTCTCTTTTGAGTTTTCGCCACAAAACATGGCAGCAAGGTCATGAAGGAAAGAGAGGGATCTATCACCGTGCTGTAGGAACTGCTCTGGAAATAGGAAGGCTGCACCCTCTGTTTTTCTGAACCGATCTGGGGCTCGGGGAGGGGTGGGGGCTGGCCACAATCAGGATTGGCCACTGTGTCGCTCTGTCGTTGGTGCATGGCCATTCTTCCCAGTTCATCCCCACCCGGATGTCTCCCAGGACCATCAGGCTCACACGTCTGGCCCTGGCCCCAAACCTGGTTCTCCCCGCTGTCCCCATCACAACCGACAGCCCTGCTGTCCATCTACTCACAGCGGCGGGAAACCCAGACCATCCCATGGTTACACCCCACTGCCTCTGGACCTGTCCAGCTGCCACCCTCTCCAAGTTCCCAGCTGACAACCCCTAAGGGGCCATCCAGACCCCGACTGGTCCTGGGAGTCTGTTCATAGCGGGGCCTCCATGGCCCTTGTAAAGGTGTCATTCTATGTGTTACCCACGCGCTGAGGGTAACATCCTCCAGCTGATTCTAAGTGCTCTCTGGACATGACCTCATCCTTTCTGAGGCTTTGGGGCTGCAGGGGCTGGCCCTGCCTCCCCCAACCCCAGCCCTCCCCCAGGTCTCTGCACACCCAGTGCCCTGACCACTATTGCTATCCCTTCAGGTCTCGGCTCAAATGTCACTGCCTCAGGGAAGCCCCCCACATCCTCCAGAGCCCTCACTTCCTGCTTTGCTAGCAAGCACAGCACTGGCCAGTTGGCAGTTACACTGACTATTGACTCTTGGTAGGAATTCGCTCACATCTGCGCTTCCCTGCTGCACCGTAAGCTCAGGAGGGAGGGGACCATGCTTTCTCTCACCCCTCCAGCATTATCCCTGGGTCCCCGGGCACAGCGAGCCTGACAGAGATTAAGAGGCAGTGTTTTTCCTAAGTGTTGAGAGAAAACATACTTCCTTGGCCACCAAAACTTAAGCACCAAAAAAAATCCTGAATTTATTACATC